GACCCTCACGAAGACGGAGCAGATTCCGACCACCCGGGTGCAGTACATCACCAGCACGCGCGTGCAGAATCATCAGGTGACACAAACGGTGGCAGCGCCGGCCGAGACCGTCACCGAGCACGCAGTTAGCACGCAGCTGCAGGTCAGCACCGAGTACCGCACGGCAGTGGTGCACAGCACGCACGTGCAGCCCACCACCGTCGTGCGCACGGCCTACCAGACGCGGGTGCTGACGCGCACCGAGCTGCGCCCCCAGTTCATCACCCAGACGAACACCGCCACGCAGACGGTGCCGGGTCAGGTGTACCAGCAGACCAAGTACAACACCCTCACGGCCACCGAGACGCAGCAGCTGCCGGCCGACACCCAGTACATCACCCGCACCAGCACGCAGGTCAGCCAGACGGTCCGCCCGCGGCTGACCGCGCCCGCACCTGCCGCAGACCGCGCTGCCGTCGATCGCGCGGTCTGCGGCAGGTGCTGCCGTCGATCGCGCGGTCTGCGGCAGGTGCTGCCGTCGACCGCGCGGTCTGCGGCGGGTGCCGCCGTCGATCGTGCGGTCTGCGGCAGGTGCTGCCGTCGACCGCGCGGTCTGCGGCAGGTGCTGCCGTCGACCGCGCGGTCTGCGGCAGGTGCTGCCGTCGACCGCGCGGTCTGCGGCAGGTGCTGCCGTCGACCGCGCGGTCTGCGGCAGGTGCTGCCGTCGACCGCGCGGTCTGCGGGGGTGCTGCCGTCGACCGCGCGGTCTGCGGCGGGTGCTGCCGTCGACCGCGCGGTCTGCGGCGGGTGCTGCCGTCGACCGCGCGGTCTGCGGCGGGTGCTGCCGTCGACCGCGCGGTCTGCGGCGGGTGCCGCCGTCACGCTGGTACTGCGTGTTTAATTGCCGCGGTCGCCCCGTATTATCGACTTTTATTTTGTTCAGATATCTTTGTTCATGACTTTATTTTGTCAAGAGCTATATGAATAATTCGCTGGTGAGATATTGACGACTAACAAGTTGTTATCAACATGTAGCATTGGCTGTATTTGTTTATCTGAAGAAGGGAAAAGCGAGCACAGTGCGATGCTACGATCTCCCAAAATTGCAATGAAAAATCCGATGTGTCTGTAAAGCTAACGATTTGGTGACCCTTTTCAGACGTCGTACGCCACTAAGGTCGTGCAGCTGCCGGCTCAGACGCTGCACATTACACGCACGGAGCTGGTGCCCAGCACCCAAGTGATCGTCTCCACCCAGCTGGTGCCTCGCCTGGTGCGCATCACCAACACGGCCACCATTACCGAGACGCAGACAGCCACGCAGACACGGCAGCGGCTGCTGATCAGCACGCGGCTGCAGCCCGTCACGCACACACAGTTCCAAACGCGTATACTGACCGTGCAGCGGGACGTGCCGGTCACGCAGTACCAGCAGCGCACCGTGGTCAGCACGGTTCTGCTGCCGGCCAGCACCGAGTACCTGACGCGCAGCCAGACGCAGCACAGCACGCTCCAGCTGCCGGCCTCCACTCTCGTGCAGGTGGTGACGCGCACTCAGGTCTCCAACCGGCTGATCACTTCCTACATCACCCGCCCGCTGGTGCGTGAGATCACCATCACGTCCACCGTGAAGCAGGAGTGCGGCTACAACTACCCAGAGCCCGCGGACGCCCTCAACTTCTGAGTGGAGAGATCCTGCTGACAGAGGAGCGGTCCTCCTGATGGCGGAGCAGTTCTCTTGACGACCGAGTGGTCCCTCTGAGGGCGGAGCGGTCCCTTTGAGGGCGGAGTGGTCTTCCGCAAGACAGCGCTCGTCCTAACGGTAGAGCGCTCCTCCTGACGGCGGAACGGTCCCCCTGAGAGGGAGCGGTCCCCGCGAGGGCGAACCTGTCCTCCTGACGACGGAGCGGTCCTCTTGGCGGCGGAGCGCTCCTCCTGATGGTGGAGCGGTTCTCCTGGCAGTAGAGCGGTCCCCCAGAGGACGGAGCTGTCCTGCTGACTACTGACGGCGAAGCAGCGTATCTTTCAACCGTGAAGCCTCTCTTACTCATCCCTCTCACGATGAAGCATTTTTCTTCGCGATGCAGCACTCTTGGTCTTCGTGTCTTGGTGTCAGTTTCCATGGAGCCTGTGCTAGAGTGTCCGAGCCCTTCGCCTGCACTGAAAAGCCTCCTGAGAAGAGCTACCGTCTTGGGGTCACACTTTCCAGGGAAGGATTTCGACGGAACCGCTGTTGTAGCAGCCTCTCGCTGCTGTCGGGGAGGCCTGTGGAGATCGCTTGCTGGTGCCTCGTCCATGCTGGACGGAGGCAAACGGCGTCAGTGTTGCGCAGGACTGGACTTCAAATAACGTTCAATAAACCATGACTAGCAGCAGGCGTTTGTTGATGTTATCAAGTACTCGCGACACCTGTGAAATGAACGGCGGAGATGAAACAGGTATACGCATGCATGCTGGGATCAAACGTACAGTGCAAATCGCAGAAACGCGATGCATGAAATATGTGCCAAGTGCATTCAATAATTCCATTTCATGTATCATGCATCACGGACGCCCTATTCTGACCTACTAACGGGCTCTGGCTCGACCAATCGACTGTGGTGACCTGTGGAGGTAATGGTGGTACGCATGCAAAGAGTGAATGACACGGATCTCAGTGAGCGCGGTGCAGCCCACTCTGTGAGAAGAGGAGAGTCCAGCCGGCGGACAGCGGCCAGACGAGGCGAACCATCCACAGCTGGGCAGTGCCGCCGCATGTCTCCCGCTCAACGTACGGCACCCACTGCGAAACATTTCGGATGATTAGAGGCAATACTCGATCACCTCAGAACGAAACAAAGTGGTACGTGGTTCTCCACATTGTCATTATCAGGTGATTCCAAGGCCTTTTCTCTCAGTTCATTGCTCTAGCGTCTGGTGCTGAAGAATAATTGGCAATAAATCCGCCTGTAGGCTTCGCGCCACGACGGTTGCCTTTAACGTTGTGATGCTATATAACAGCCGTGGATTATCTTGACACTCAGAAGATCATCGTCACAAGGCAGGAAAGGCCCACGGTGTGAGCCACGGCCTACATCTGGACATAAATGTTTTTTTTTGTGGCAGCTCTGATCGTAATTACAAAAATGTTTCCATGGACAGAAAGTACCTGCTCTGGGCGGCAAGATCGCAGTCCCATCATTGGTGGCGGTGAATTGTCGGTAAAGTACTTATGATGTGGACAAAGTCGAGTTTCGTTTTCAGATTCAGTCCAAACCATTCGATTAGATGTCTTTGTAAATCAGCACCCTCGCCAATAAGCGTCTGAGTGTTAAAAGTGTGATGGAGTATCTAAGTGCCTAAAGAGAATTGTTAAGTCCTTAAAACGCCTATAAAGTCCTTAAAACGCCTGTTTCTTACGTGCGCCTTGACCCTACTCTCTGATCGGAAAAATCCGAGTCAACGGCATGATTTGGAGGCGAAAGCTTAATGTGTCGCAAACCCACAGCCCACCCTGTCCTTTACTATCACATGACCTTAAACGTAGCTTCAGGCGCTGGCCCAGGCTATTCCAGCGAGGACGAAATGGCAAGCGACTTGAGCGACGCGGACCCACCCAGCCGCCAGTGGGCGAATCGGAACGCAGACACTCCAACCAACTGAGCTAGCGGACGAACAGCATCATCTTTTAGCTGCATGATTCACTCAGACATTTTAGCATCATCGGTTGCATTTCTTTTTGAAGGGGGCGCGACTTGATTCTGAATTGTGTGCTGGCTATTAGAAACAATTGTATTGCGAGCTATCTTTAGATAGGCTTACTCCCTTTGACTGTTTTCTGATTAATACCACTTCTCATTGCACTGCTCGTTACATGAGGCATGCAGAGCAATGACCGGACGTAAACAGGTTCTACAGATTAGGTAAGCTTTTTTCGCGTACAGCTGTTCTGTCTTTACATCACACCACTCTATCCAACGGTAGATTTCCGTTTTCTTCAGATCTCACCACGTCAGTAAAGATAACGCGTATGGATCAGTGCGCTCTCTACGTAAAGCTGATGCCAGTGAACATGCGCACGTTTCGCTTACAGATGCCAGCGAATTTGTATTGCGCACTACCGGTGATAAGGTAAGTGCACACTGTCCACGTGTAGCTGATGTCAGCAAACCTCTGCATTTCGCACAGCTGTTGTTACCTGTGCCTGCACGCGGTTCACGTACATCCTTTTCTAATATCACCGGCACATGATCGCTTTCGTCGTCGACATAGTTACCTGTACGAATAAACCACCTTACGCGTACCTCACATCAGCAGCACCTGTACACCGCCGACGCACAGCTGACGTCAGCTGTGCCTGTACATCGTCCACGCATAGCTGACGTCAGCAGCACTTGCACACCGACCACGTACAGCTGACGTCAGCAGCGCCTGTACTGCTCACAAGCATTTTATATGACCTGTACCGGCACACTGTCCACGTGCGGCTGCCGTCAACTGGACACGCCCACGCGTCGCTGGTGGCAGCTGCGCCTGTGCACTGCTCACAAGCATTTGATGTGACCTGTACCGACACACTGTCCACGTGTGGCTCCCGTCAACTGGACACGCCCACGCGTCGCTGACGACCGGATGCTGGCGCCGTCCCAGGACGGCGGTGCTGAGGCGGCGCCGCCGGGCGGCAGTGCTGACGCAGCGGGGGCGAGAAGCCGCGGAATGTCGGCCGGAGCCGCCGCCGAGGCAGCCTTTATCTTCCCGTTCCGATGAGTGATGGGGCCTGGTGCGCTGCGTTGAATGAGGCCATGGATCATCGTTGACAAGTCAAATATTTTCTCGCCAATGCCCCGCCCATATCCTAGATGCAACCGCGACCGCTGTCGATCTCGCAGTTGTCTTTCCCTTCCGTCTGCTCCATAGTGCTTCCACCAGCATCCTCAGCCCACCAAGGTCTATTTACGCTAGTGGGCGCCTCCCGCGTTGGTACAATGTCGGGTCTCTGCAGTGCAGCATCTTATACATAAAACGCTTACCTAACGCCCGGGATGAGTGAACGAAGGATCCTTGGGTCGTGGGTAAGTGCTCGTGGGAAACGTGGGTCGCGTCCGTGATCCTTGAAGCTGCTAAAGTCCTTGCGGCATATCGTTTGAATGAGTTACTTTGTGGCATGTGTCCCAGACTGTGTGCGTGTAAGCGCGAATGGGTGGGTGCCTTGCGTATGTGTGTGTGTGTGTGGGAGGGGACGAGGAATGAGAATTCAGTGCGTCTTACAGACACCACTGATAATAAAAACAAGATACGGTGTCTTTCGTTACGCATTCTAGAGTGTTTACAGAGCGGTGCGACGTTCGTGGCACGCGGCTATAACGATGGCGTGCCTCCGTGTCGTGTGATGGCGAAGTTTGCGCGTTATGCATCCGGACGGGGGCGATGTAGTCGAGCACCGGCGGTCCTCTATCGCGTGGGGCGGTGTAGTTGGGTGCTGGCGGTTCTCGTTCCGGACGGAGACGGTGTAGTTGGGTACTGGCGGTTCTCCATCCGGACGGAGACGGTGTAGTTGGCTACTGGCGGCCTCCATTCAAACGGAGACGGTGTAGTTGGGTAATGGCGGCCTCTTATCCGGACGGGGGTGATGCAGTTGAGCACTGGCGGTACTCTTTCCGGACGGAGGTGGTTCAGTGGGTACTGGCGGTCCTCCATCCGGGCGGAGATGGTGTAGAGCAGTGCTAGCGGTCCTCTGTCGCGTGGGGCGCGACCCCCTGAGCGACGGCTGCCGAGGAGCGGCCGTCCGGCCTTCACAGCCGGCTGGCGCCGCCGCCGACGGCACAAAAGGCAGTATCTGTCCTCACACCCCGCGCGCCAGGTCCGTCTGGCAGCTGAGTGTGGCCGTCCCATGCCCTACCCAGCGCGCCAGGTCTGACCGCCGTGTGTGGCCGACCCATGTCCCACCCGGCGCGCCAGGCCCGTCTGGCCGCCGCGTGTGGCCGACCTCGTCCGCCGACGACGGCCGCGCGCGTCGGTGCCGTCAGCCGCTCACGTCGGCGACTGGTCTCAGTCGACGATCGCCTAGCGCGGGAGCACGGACGGCATGCGAGCTCGCGGCCGCGAGCGGCGCTGGTGACGAACAGTGGTGAGGCGCGGTGCTGTGACGGGCTGAAGCTAACAGCCGACGGCACGCGGCTGAATGTTACTGGTAAGCACAGCGCGCTGGCGCTCTGGAAGTGGAACTTCATGGCTTAGCATTTGAAACTAGTTGGCACCCGAAATAAATAAAGAGGGAAATCTGGCAAGGACGGCAGATATTTACATGGACCAGGCGTAGTCCACAAGTTAAAGAGCATCCGGGGTGGGTGAACCAATGGGTACGCACGTGCAATGGTTAGCAGGCTGAACTGGGTACGGATTTTCGGAAAAACACGGATATGGGTACGGGGGTGAGGAAGACGTTAACGAAATGTTGAGTAGGTACTTAACATATGCTGCGTAATGCTACTATTGCTTGTACTTATTTTAGTCATACGTAGCCTCATTAGCCGCATCTATGTAATCATAACGCAACGAGTAAGTTTTGATGTCATTTTTCTTGAAACGTTTCATTATTCCGAACCAAGTATTGAAAACTGCAAGCGCTTGGTTAACGGGTACAAGGGGGGGGGGGGGGGATGGGCTCGCACCCGCCGCATTGGATCTGTCACTGGCCGCATATATAATCGTTCTCTTCATTAAATTATGCACCATACGCTCAGTGTCACTGAGGTGCCACTAACAGTTTTTTGTTATGGGTGCGGGCACAGACCGCTGTTCCTGTCGCTATATTGCGAGCAAGCCTTGTGTGCCTGTCTTAATTTTTCATGCCAAGGCATTTTAGCGGTTCATCGCATAGGCTTCCAAAGCACATCATATTTACGATAACATGCTATGTGATCGGTTCGCTGGTCGTAAGCACCCTCCGCTGCAGGGTTGTTCGTTATCTGTGTGAATGTTTCGATGCTCCGGCTGCCAGGCCGGAGCATCCAGCATTATCAGGCGCCCGGCAGCCCGCCGCGCATTGAAGTCTCGGCCCGAGTGACGTCACGGTGACGTCAAGCGAAGGTGAAGCGAGGATCTCTGAATGGGTTTACCTCTCTTATACGGCCCTGGCAGAAACAACTGTCGACTCCTCGTCCTGATGGGGGCGTAGTGGTGCTGGTGCGAGCCCCTTCAATGTTTTCTGAGTATACTTATCCGAATCTGTTTGCATACATCTGCGCCCGAATTTTCAGTAGTTTATGAGGCATTCATTGCGCATGATTTGATACAAGAGCACGTGTGCGTACCATTCCTGGTTTCGGAGCAGCGGCAGTTTCGGGAACACTGCACGGTGATCTGCGGCCGGCTCGGGCGGCGGGCGGCAACCGACGGCTTCACGAACCGCCGGAAATGGGCCGTCATTGCTGCATTCACGGAACCATATATGATACATTACGTTCAAAACACATAAAACTGTACACTATTGAACTCGCCACTGAACGAGGAATACGCCTGTTAAGATTTCGTGACGCGACAAGCCATGCTCTCGCTCACATGAGCAGGGCAGGAGATCGTCTTCGGAAAGAAGGGGAATTCAGGGTCCAAGAGCCCGCCATTATTGGGACCCATGCCATCACAAAAGAGTACAATCCATTAGTTTTGGAACAGCTCCGCTTAAGACCACTTTATTTTGAGAGTGGCCACTGATAATGATTTTTCCAAAGGGCTGAAGCTACTTGTGAAAAATGACCTCGCATACCCGACGTCAGGTGAAAGCTGTAACACTTATGGACGAGCCCTAGGTGCACGACATTTTGGCTAAAGACTAAGGATTTGTCGCCATTGTAGAAATCACCTGATATGGGCTTCAAGCATTTATCACGACCGAATAATCACCATAATGATTCCATTTTATCACCCCTTTCATACAGAGGCTCAACTTGTCTTTCCTTGCGCATTTTGACGCACCAAAAGCGTGTGCTTGTGTTCCAATCCAGCATCTTCAGCTTCATTTTTCCTCATCGGCGCAACCACGCCTTAAGTGTCATTGGAATTCATTTCTGTCTGAGCGTCAGTTCATACAGTCAACACAAGTTGAGCACCATTTGCACCTCCTTGAACACCCAGCTATTCGAGCTGGAGCTAGGTCGTGTATGGATCATTAACCTTTCTTACTGCGTCCAGAGCAAGTCAACAGCTTTTTTCGCGTATGAGGTGCGCGGAAATTCAGGTAAGACGTGTTTATCAGCAGCACCGTTTTGAAAAACAGAATTTTGTGCAAGCCATTCATGCTAGAGTAGAGTAGTCTACGGGTATCAATAGCATTTCCAGGGGGTTCGGCACACGACAAGAGTTTGGCGTGAAGGTATCCGGACTCTCCTCGTCGTGACGGTACCCGGACTCTCCTCGTCGTGACGGTACCCGGACTCTCCTCGTCGTGACGGTACCTGGACTCTCCTCGTCGTGACGGTACCCGGACCCTCCTCGTCGTGACGGTACCCGGACCCTCCTCGTCGTGACGGTACCCGGACTCTCCTCGTCGTGACGCTACCCGGACTCTCCTCGTCGTGACGGTACCCGGACTCTCCTCGTCGTGACGGTACCTGGACCCTCCCCGTCGTGACGGTACCTGGACTCTCCTCGTCGTGACGGTACCCGGACTCCCCTCGTCGTGACGGTACCCGGACTCTCCTCGTTGTGACGGTATCCGGACTTTCCCCGTCGACCCACGGCTCCAGTCTGTCCGCAGTCATGCATTGCGGTAGTAGTAGCCGTGGTTCTACTGTCGTGAAGTGCATTTTAGCAGCACAATCTTGTATTTACTCTTTCATACAATCCAGCGATTTTCCGTCACGCTGCGTGCCCCGAACGGAATCTCCCTATGGGGCAACCTCGAACCACCGGACCCTGCTTTGGATCTCCCCCGGCTTCTCTTTCTACTCCTGGGAACCTCAGGTTCGAGACAGCCTGCCTATGAGGTTTTGCGGGGCTTGGTGGGTACCGGGCGACACTTAGGTGGTCAGAAGGGTGGTAAAGGTAAAGGTACCTTGGTAAAGAGGTAACCGGAGGAGTGCAGGGTAGTCAGCGAAGCCCGTGAACAATCAGCGGAAACGCGGTCGGCCAGGTACTCGTTACTGGCCACAGGGCTCCTTGAGCGCAGAAGCGACCCGAGCAGCTAAAACGGCGCACGGAGCGGCGTATCTCAGGCACGGAGAGGTCCCTAGGGGTGCAGCCAGAGTCTTGGTAGGGGTGCGTAAGGTAGAAAAGAGCTCCTGGTGGTGCAAGGCCTCCCCGAACAAAGAACACCGCTCGTCCTCGTTGACTTCAGTCCAGGCGACGTCGATGAGCACATGGATCACGTGGGGCGCGTGGTAACACTGCTCACACACAGCGCGCTACTTCCCTGAATGGGGGCTGAAGGTAGCCAGCTATCTGACCTGGCTGCTGACCCGTAGCGCAAGCCGCCCGCTGCGCGAGGTGCAGCACATCGATGGCGTGTGCGGGAGGCCATGACGCTGCGACCACGCCACCCTCTGCTAGCCATAGATGTGGACTAGCTTATGGCGCTGGTCCGACCTCTAATGCGCCAGGTGACAGGTGGACCCGCCAGCAACGACGTCACCAGTCTGCGCTCGCATCTTCAGCACCGCTTTGAACATTACCTGCGTCATCTCTGCTTCGTTGCATACGTCGGAGTGAGTGCGACTTCCCCGGGTTTCTGCCTGACGGCCTCACAGGCTGACGGCCATGACCCGGCTACAGTGCCGGGCGATCCACGATCACCGCGGGGTCGGTCCGGAGTGGTTCCGAATTGGTCTGGTGTCCCTGAGGAGGTCACCGCAATGACGGTCGGCGATGCAGCGGTCAGCAACGAAACGGGGCGCGCTGGGCGTCAGCAGCCCGAGACAGTTCAGCATAGGTCCGGCAGCGTGTTGTCCACCGGCTGCGTCACCCAGCACACCGACACACGCGGCGCCCGGCGCGGTGGCGGGGTAGCGGCGCCCGGCGCGGTGGCAGGGTAGCGGCGCCCGGCACGGTGGCAGGGTAGCGGTGCCCAGCGCGGTGGCTGGGTAGCGGCGCCCGGCGCGATGGCTGGGTAACGGCGCCCGGCACGGTGGCTGGGTAGCGGCGCCCGGCACTACGGCTATGTGGCAGACCGGGATGTCGCCGAGGAATGATGACGTCCGCTGCCCGGCATCCAGATGGGATACCAGCCGCTGTTAATGCCACAGAGCTTGAAGGCACGCTCAGTTATGTAGAAACTCCGCCCAAAAGACGGCAAGAAATGTAGAGGAGCGTGGTGATGGCAATGCCAACATTGACCAGTAGCTCGCTAGACTGCTAATCGAAATGCGCAATCTTTGAATATGGCAATGGCTGCCAATGCACTAAAACTTGGATATTAAGTGCCAGACGGTTTGTACAGAAATCAACTGCATCATTTGTGCCATCATGTGCAAAATTCCAACTCTGTTATCAAAAATATCCCAGAACGATGTGTTTCGGAAGCATAGGTCCTACACAATTTCACACACCCACGCTTTGATTAAGGGTCAGGAAATGTTCATACCCATAATAAATAGGCTTCATACAACACCCAACTATGCTTGATCCGCAACTGATGTTTCATGACTGTCGTTCTCAAAAGGATGTCGGACTGCACCATGTATCGTCAGCATAGGCATCTATGGCCGGTGTAGTAAGTTGTGGCTCGAGTTGCTCATGCAGCAAAACGTCGATGTTTAGACATGTGTTCTACACCAGCTCACTTTGTACCCGTGAACGCTTTAAGCGTTCACGGGTACAAGCCTACCAAGGTTTGAGTTTGGGCTAACTGTGCTGGTCTTTGGTAATTTGGTTCCACATTCCAGGTTTTGTGACCAAATAGCTCGTAAAAGTTTCCATGTATGTCACCAATCGTATTGAGCAAGTCGGCAGATATTTTTCGCCATGACTGCAAATCATCAGTTGGGTGCCATCTTTAGAAGACGCTAGTTAGAAAACGACAGGCAATTAATAATGAAGTCAGGTATGCTGGGCAGATGCGTTCTTGCTAGCTGATGCTACATGCGCCTTAAAAAGAGTGGTTTACTTCCACTTCCGCCTCTGTTTTAAAATGCGTTGTAAACCTCACGGCACTTCAGATTGCCAAGATTGGAACTACCGAGCGCGGACGTAGCGAAACCGTGGAGACTGCAGTGCGGTGTGTGATGGTGGGTTGCCTGTCCTGAGCTCCGCGGTGCATGGCGAGTGCGAAATTGTCCATTTTGCGTCCCTGTATTAGTGGGTATGTAATATTTATGTAACATACGGTGTCAGGCCCTTGTCCGCAACTTTGCGTTGCATGCATCGCAACTCTAAGTGTCGGACGTCTGTCAATAAAAATGCGACGTCACACAGCATCATACCATATCAGCATCGCACGTATTCCAAGACCTCCCAAGTTTTACAAACAGCGTATTTGTTACCGGAGTTGCCACCATCGGCGCAGTATTTCTCGGCGTGCTTCAGAAGAGGCTGCGATGGGACGATACGAGTGTTGATGGGACAGCCATCTCGGTCTTGGAGAAAACGACGGTACCAAACTGTTTCGATCCACATGGCCCCCGAGAAAATGTCGTCATATCTTACCGGGCAGCCTCTGGTGAACTCCGCTGCATGCTGACCATCGGACCTGGACACGCGCCAGTCGCTGCTGCGATGGAACGGAGTCGGGCGCACCAAGCTGCCTGTCTGGGATGTCTCAAGGTTTAGTCCGCTGTGGGCGACCGGTTGTTCTCATCTTCGTCGGAATACGAGCCCGAAGACCACAGTGCCATCCCAAAAACCAAACACGTTTGAGCCAGGCGGAGGGCGGCACCGCACAGCCTGCGTGAAGCCGCTGGACAACAGTGTGGATGAACATCAGTGAATAAACGGATGATGTCAAACTGGCCAGACTCGCTCCGCAGGTAACGTTAGTGAACTTAGGGCTCTCCTCTATCTTCAGAGATACGCGCCGTACCAGTGGGAGAGTGCACTGCACTGGATCATGCATGAATAGCACCCAGCACTGAGCCTGATCTGATCCGACTCGTGACATCTCAAATCTTCTAACGCTGATTCGGTCCTTCGTGCATTGACCTCTACCCACCATCCCAAGAATAAAGCACGTTTTAGTAACGAGAGAAAAGTCGTTGAAAAACGTTTGTTGAGCTCAATCAATGATCGTTATAAAACAGCAGAAAAGTCAAACGGGAATATATAAGTACGGTGGGTGTCCGATCACTGGACGGCACGGTCAGAAATCACATCCGATCACTGAACGGCACCGTCAGGAATTCCAACCGATCACTGGACGGCACGGTCAACACTCACACCTGATCACTGGACGGCACTGTCAGGAATCCCAACCGATCACTGGACGGCACGGTCATGAACCACACTTGATCACTAGACGGTATAGTCTGAAATCACACTCGATTACTGGATGGCACCATCAGGAATCACATCCGATCACTGGACGGCACGGCCAGGACTCACATGACGCGGGATGATTTGGGTGACAAGGAGAGCAGAGGTCTTGTGAGTCAGCGGGTGTCATTAGTTCAGTGGCACGGTGCCGCCGGTTTCGAGCTATGTCCCACACATGTCGGCCTCGTTGATCTACGGATGTGTAGATAATATCAGTTTAGGATTCAGAAGCAGTGCGTAACCAAGGGGAAAGGCTTTCAAGACCATGTCCCCCTGCCTCTGGTGGCAGCTTAAGACGCTCGTAGGGCTTTCAAAACATCAAGAAATGTGTCCTCGAGACGTCTAGATATAATCTCCAGTCCCCAAAGCTCCCCCAATTGGAGTATGGTTTAAGCCCTTCCTGTGTAAACTTCTGGCCATCATACTGTTCAGGGGAATGTTAAAGTTGCGCGAGACAAATCCTTAAATCCTTTAATATCGGTAGATCTGGCTTCATTTCCAAGCACGCAACTCGCCAATGCTCGTTTCGCGGCTTTAACTCTTTTTGAAGGGAACGGGACGCACTTCGTCACGCCTTATTTATACAGCAGCAGCGACTGCATTGCTCATACTGCATCTGCTGCATTGCTCACGGGCCATGCCGCGATTCAAATCCGTGGAATCCCCTCGTGGAAGTCCACTTCTGCTCTTCGTTTCGATAAAGGCATGTTCCGAGATATCAATGCATCTATGTCTCCATTCTCCTGGTTTTACTCCGATGAATAAGGCCATTACTTCTATCTCATCCATGAGCATAATGTTCCTCGCAAATGCGCTTTCCAACATACGGTTTTAAATGTGTCTGGCTCACTGTCTGACGTGTCCGCACTCGGAGACGCGTGCAGCCGCACACCGGCTGGCTCCAGATTATGCACTTTCAAGGTGACGTTCGTATACGACACTAGTCCGGCGAACGTAAGAAAACGTCCAACTCGCTAGCTTTTAAATCGCTAATCTAGTCCGTAAGGCACGGAAGTATGGGGAAAAGTGCTCACAGTTGCGTTCGTGTCGTTTCAGAATGTCTGTATTCATGGCGGTATGAGAGCTGCCGCCCTGCATCTGCTGCTCGTGGTGGCAGCTGTGCGCCCCTTCTCACCCACAGGTAACTCACGTCGCTCATCTATCAAACTTGTGCATTGGTATTGAGTGGTTCAAGAACAGCGTCGAGAGCTTTGGGCGCTGACGGCGTGTTAACTCCCCATGGGAGTGTAGGCGAAGGCGCTTACTCGCGAGGTTCATGTGAACTTGGGTCGTTTACGTAGTTATCTGCAACATTGTATCCCAAAAGACCGATTATTTTTGTACGGCGTGCCAAACAGTAATTTCCTAAAGCACTCATAGCATATTCGCCTCTCTGACTTGTTTTGTCGATTGTGCTGCGCGTCGCCGGCGTGGAGCCCGGTGCTGCCTGGGCTAACAAGGAGAAACGGGCTTCGGGCGTAGGGCTGAGCTGGCTTCTGGTTTTCGGCGTGGCAGGACTTAAGAAGCGCTCGGGCAGGGTGGGCGGCGGTGGGATAGTTTGACTCTTCCCTGAAAGTTTACTTGAATAACTTCCGAACGGTGCGGTGCAGCCTCTTGTGGTTGTTAATTGATGTTTTCGGGCGCGTCGACTGCCGTGGTCATTTGGCCGCCAAAGGAGTTTTGTTTTACCTAACTAATGAACCGCGTAAATGGTCCCAAAGTTGATGGGTCTGAGAAAGAAAAAGACCTGTTGAAATACAAGAAATTGTGAGTTGTCTCCTAAAATGTCACAGAGCGTCAGGGGCGAGTCACGCCGTCCAAAGTGACGTTGTCGTTCTTTCACAATGTGCGGACACGATATAAGCACATGGCGAACGGTGAGAATAACACCTCGTCGATGGCAGATAGGTCTATCGGCTCCCTCCAACATATAACCGTGGGTTACGTGATTGTTCCCGATGCGTAGTCTGCAGAGGATCAGCTCTCCTCGCCTCACCTTCTGAGAACAAGATAACCACTGATGCAACTCGGGTTTGATTGCTCTGAGCTTAATACTATCGGTCACATACCAGCAACGTTGCCACTCGTTCTACAGAAACGTCCTTATTGCGGGGTCAAAGTCTGTAGCAGGGTTAGAAAGAGAGCGTACACATGGAACCAGCTCTGCTCCCCTGGCAGCCGCGGCAGCCCCCTTTTGCCGGTGATTCCAATGTGACTGCGGACCCAACACAAGATGACTTTCTCCCGGGCCTCATCCAGTTCAGTCAGGCGTCCTAAAATGTCCTGTACGAGAGGATATGAGGGATGAAAAGGCCTAAGACTAAGAAAGCTAATGAGAGGGTCCGTCAAAAAAAAGGTTCGTTGCCGACCTTAATAAAACACAGCGCCCTGTTGATCGCTACCAACTCCGCGGAGAACACCGACGCGCGTGGAGGCAATGAAAACAACCGGATGTCCTAGTAGCTCACAAACGCACAACCTACACCACCAGAAGTTTTAGAGCAGTCCGTGTAAGTAATTATGTAGCCCTCACATGACCCCTTGCGCTCAAGTGCCCTGGACCTCATTACATCTGGCAAGACGACATTAGTGTTCATATCTGTTAGAGACCTATGTATTGAGAGTGAGGCCAAATGCCAGGGAGGTTGCACAGATGTCCTGCCCGCTTCGCCCTTCGAATGGGAGTTTCGCTTTCCTGCAGTAAGGCGTACATTCGGAGGCCAAGAGTCATAGCATGTACTCGAGGTGCGCTGCTATGAAAACGTACAGCAGACCGTGAGAAACTGTGCCATATGCCGGATGTGAGAGGAGCTGTCGCAGCTTGAGCGCACAACGCATACCGAGCATTTTCCTCCTCGCTGACAAGAGCGGCTTGTGTGATTCCACCATGAGGGTTACGGTAGGTGATGTGCGGAACGCCCATGTGATAACTCGTAAAACGGTGTGATGGACAGTGTCAAGGACGCATTTGGTGGATTCACACGCGCTGTCATAAATAAAGCATGCATAGTCCAGCTTAGGACGTAAGATTGGGCGATACAATAGCAAAAGCGTGCATCGATTTACTCCATGCGATGTGCGTGAAGCACATTTCATTAGGTTGCGCTGCAGCCCCGGTAAACGCTGTTTTGCCGCAGGGAATTGAAAAGCCAATCTTCTAACAATGAATTATATAAATCTTGTGAGGCCACCGGCAGGCCAAAGCCAGGTAATGGCTGTCAGCAAAGGCAATTCGTAGGGAATCGCGTAATATGATGCGACGAGGTAGTGTCCATTGGCTTTGATTCGGTCTGATGGCCAGGTAAAAGTAAAAATCAGACCGTTTTATAGTTGGAAAAAATACTTCATGCCTTAGTTTCTGACGCTCATTCCGAACTTATTGACGCAGATTTAAACGGAAATATAAAGCAATTTCAAAGCTTTTTTTCTCGAAGGCTTCGAGGGAACAAAATTAGGATCCAGAAGTACTGAGGTACCGTATGCATGGGTCGATCGGTTGTGAGTGCTATGATGACAGTGAAAACTTTATTTCAGCAGAATAAGGTCTAAGATTAACTGAATGGTTGGAATTGTTTAATTAGGGCATAATATTGCTTGCATAATTTTAGCCATCAATGTTCTCGTTTTACTGGGCTTCAAACTTCACTTTAGAACAACATACGAAAAAACCTATGCTGTTTTTTCAAAGTACGAAGTGTGCGAAAGTGCGAATCAAAGTGCATGCCATGTATTAATAAGTAATTTTGATAAGTGTTCTGTACCCTCATATAATCTGCATAAAGTTTCCGATAAACTCTGTGAGCATTTTTTAAAACAGAAAGTTCAAAAATGATATCGTCGATCTTTAAACCTCTTAAACATCGGGTGATCCGACGTCGTGTTCTTGAACGGAGACATGAATGCTCCAGGAGTCAAAAAAGGTAAAACGGCACATGACTAAAACCCAAATAGGGGAAAAGCTTTCAGGTCAAGAATTGCAAGTGGTTAAACGCCGACGGGACCAATAGCTTGTTTTTTTAAAAGATTAACGGCACGGAAGGGAAAAAGTGGCACATGAACGGAACAGATTGGACCAATAGGTCTTGGAGAAACCGCTTGTGTTATTCTCTCGAACACTTCAGTTGCTTGGAGTTGTGTCGGTCTCACCCCAAGATGCAAAATATTCCCTACAATCCATTAATGAACTTGTGTGTCCCGTCGTGCGCTGTCCAGTTCCGTACTAGCCCGGATGTCCGAAGGCTTTCTTGCAGCCTGTAAATGTTCGGCATAACACGAATGAACACCACGACTATGTCTGGACGCCCGGGGCAGCAGCGATGCGGTATTGACATGATCTGATTCAGAACAGAACGAACAATTATATGGGCACAAATATGCGTGACGGTCATCCGCAATTCCCACTATCTTGAGCGCAAAATATGGACCCTGAGGTCTGGAGTGCTTTCTGACGATTAACATCAGATGCCGGCAACCGAAGCAGCATACACAGGCTTCAAAACAGTTGCGTAGCATAGGCGAATGTACTGTCTGCAACTTGTTTGTCCAATTCAATACTGGGTATGCCAGACCCTTGAAACATTTTTCGTTATTTTTGTTCCACGATTTTCAGTGATTTTTTTCAATCTTATCCGATTTGGTGGAACTTACCACAAAAGTTCATCGAATTAGTCGGTGCCAATCCGCTTGCAAAATTAAGGACTCTTTACAACTTTAACAGTAAATCTAGTTAAGTGAGTACGTTTAATGCTAATGATTTGTTCATTCTCATTGGAAAAGATGCTGTAAACCAGTGGGTGTCGAGCTCCTTAACACAGCTTATTGCCTGTCGGGAATGTAATTTTGCATTAAGATCAGAACAAACAAGGCCCATCATATCAATGACAATATCACGATTATATCTGCCAATACCTCTCAAACACCACTACATTGCAGCGACCAAAATCGCTGCTCATCACAATTACATGCAGGCATGAGCATGTTATCTAACAATATCAGACGCCTGGTCGGTACACAAATTGCCACATATCGATTGACAGTGTCAGCGGCACCCAATTCAGAAGCGCATGACGACACCCACCTCGCATGCCTAATATGAACGAACACTTCACCAAATACATGGTTCTTCGTTCGCTCGCGGACATACCACGAGTACCTGCTGTTTCAAAATAACAATCCCCCGCGCGACCGTCTATTGGGAGGTGCCTGCAGTACCAACTCATTCATCCAGCAGAACGAAAGAACCATGAGTACTTGCTGCGTCAAAATTACAATCTACCCGCGCGACCGTCTTTTGGTAGGTGCCTGCGGTACCAACTCTTTCATCCAGCAGAACAAAATAGTTGCGTCGTTTTTGAACCCCGTTGCTAATATAGCATACGCTACCAGATATCTTTTTTGCGAGGAACAAATACGAAAGCTAATTTAGTTGTAATCGGGCATCGTACAGCTGCAGGTCACATATACACAGTAAAAAACAAACTATTGTAGACATGTTGCCAATGTTACTTCACTTTGCATCCACCGTTATTGTTTTCAGCACGCTAACAGAGATACCATCAACACCCTGTCAGTCGCCCGTCATCCGACATTTGCCACGACCGCTGATGCTTTGGCACATCGTAGACATGCTAGCCACTTGCCAAAGGCTCTGGTGACCGCACAAGCTACCCGAAATCTTACCAAATCTTCATTTGAGATATGAATGAACGGTCATGGGGATGTTCATCCACGTTAATGACTTCCTGAATTTCTGTGTTAAGTGCCCTGGGCCTTTTAAATAATTAAAGAAGAATAGCAGGCATGCAACTATAAGAAACAGTATAGATCAATAAGGACCCACTAAATGCCCAAAGCGTTCGCTGGATACGGAGTACCTAGCTCACATCAAACAGCTAACTGCTATGTGATAAAGTTACCTGGCTGGTTTCTGGTTGTAGAGGTCAACATGTTCATTCTTTGATTACATTAATTTGGGAGTGAGGATAAAGGAAATGATCTGTGAGGATGGAACATTATTTATTGCCAACCACCCGGAAATGGATCGGTTGAAGCAGGTACTTAGTCTTAGGCTGGTGTTAGACTCAAATTTGTATGGGTGATTAGCTCAACAGAAACTACAGTGTTTCATTGAGTTCACATTTT